TGTATAGTTCTTCTGTGTATTCTTGCCACCTCTTCTTAATATCTTCTGCTTCTGTTACGTCCATACCATTTCTGTCCTTTATTAAGCCCATGTTTGTATTAAATGTTCCTTTGGCATCTCTAATTTTCTTGAAGAGATCTCTAGTCTTTCCCATTCTATTGTTTTATTCTATTTCTCTGCACTGATCACTGAGGAAGGCCTTCTTATCTCTCCTTGCTATTCTTTAGAACTCTGCATTCACATGGGTATATCTTCCCTTTTCTTCTTTGCTTTCCCGCTTCTCTTCATTCCACAGCTATTTGTAAGGCCTCCTCAGAGAGCCATTTTGCTTTTTTGCATTTCTTTTTCTTGGCGATGGTCTTGATCCCTGTCTCCTGTACAATGTCATGAACCTCCATACATAGTTCATCAGGCACTCTATCAGATCTAGTCCCTTAAATCTTTTTCTCACTTCCACTGTATAATCATAAGGGATTTGATTTAGGTCATACCTGAATGGTCTAGTGGTTTTCCCTACTTTCTTCAATTTAAGTCTGAATTTGGCAATAAGGAGTTCATGATCTGAGCCACAGTCAGTTCCCGGTCTTATTTTTGCTGACTATATAGAGCTTCTCCATCTTTGGCTGCAAAGAATATAATCAATCTGATTTTCGGTTTGGCCATCTGGTGATGTCCATGTATAGAGTCTTCTCTTGTTGGAAGAGGGTGTTTGCTATGACCAGTGCATTCTCTTGTCAAAACTCTATTAGCTTTTGCCCTGCTTCATTCCATACTCCAAGGCCAAATTTGCCTGTTACTCCAGGTGTTTCTTCACTTCCTTCTTTTGCATTCTAGTCCCCTATAATGAAAAAGACATCTTTTTTGGCTGTTAGTTCTAAAAGGTCTTATAGATCTTCATAGAACCATTCAACTTCAGCTTCTTCAGCATTACTGATCGGGGCCTAGACTTGGATTACCGTGATATTGAATGGTTTGCCTTGGAAACGAACAGAGATTATTCTGTCGTTTGTGAGATTGCATCCCAGTACTGCATTTCAGACTCTTCTGTTGACTATGATGGCTCCTCCATTTCTTCTAAGGGAGTCTTGTGCACAGTAGTGGATATAATGGTCATCTGAGTTAAATTCACCCATTCCAGTCCATTTTAGTTCACTTATCCCTAAAATGTCAATGTTCACTCTTACCATCTCCAGTTTGACCACTTCCAATTTGCCTTGATTCATGGACCTAGCATTCCAGAATCCTATGCAATATTTCTCCTTACAGCATCAGACTTTGCTTCCATCACCAGTCACATCCACAACTGGGTGTTGTTTTTGCTTTGGCTCCATCCCTTCATTCTTTCTGGAGTTATTTCTCCACTGATCTCCATAGCATGTTGGTGTTGTACATTTTATGAATTTGGACAAGTGAAGAAATGTACCCATCATTATAGTATCACATAGAGTAGTTGCACTTCCTAAAAATCCTCTGTCTTCTTCATATCCATCCATAACCTTTGGCAACCACTGATTTTTTTTTTTTTTTAACTCTCTGTTTTTTTAAAAAGCTCCAAAAAGTTTTGCATTTTCCAGGACGTCATATAGTTAGAATCGCACAGTATGTAGCCTTTTGCTTGGTGTGCATTTCAGGCTCCTTCATGTCTTTTCATTGTTTGGTAGTTTATTTCATCTAAGTGCTGTATGGATGTAGTACAGTTTGTCCATTTACCCACTAGGAGACAGCCTGGTTGCTTCCAGGCTCTGGCAGTCATGAATAAAGCTGCTACAAACATTCCTGTACAGGCTTCTCTATGGTCATAAGTTTCCACCTCCTTTGGGTAGAGACCAAGGAGCATCACTGCTGAGTCACATGGTAAGAACATGTTTTGTTTTATAAGAAACTGCCAAACTGCTTTCCAAAGTGACTGTACGATTTTGCAGTCCCACCAGAAATGAATGAGAGTTCCTGTTGCTTCACATCCTTGCCAGCATTTGGAGTTGTCAGTGTTTGGATGTTGGCCATTCTAATGGGCTGGTAGTGGCCTCTCAGTGCTGTTTTAATTTGCAATTCCCTAATTACATGTGACATGGAGCATCTTTTTTTCCTCCAGTTTTATTGTGATATAATTGACATAACTTTGTATTAGTTTATGGTATACAACATAATAGCATGATATATGTAAATATTGCAAAATGATTATTACAGTAAGTTTAGTCAATATCCATAATCTCACATAGTTGCAATTTTTTTCCTTGTGGTGAGAACTTTTAACATCTGCTATCTTAAGTCGTTTCAGTCATGTCTGATTCTTTGTGACCCCAGGGACTGTAGCCCTCCAGGCTCCTCTGTCCATGGAATTTCTCAGGCAAGAATACTGGAGTGGCTTGCCATGCCCTCCTCCAGGGTATCTTCCCGACCCAGGGATCAAACCCGCATCTCTTATGTCTCCTGCATTGGCAGGCAGGTTCTTTACCACTAGCACCACCTGGGAAGCCTATAGGTGGATTTTAGGGTAACTCTGTTCTATTTTTAATTTTTTGAGGAACCTCCATACTGTTTTCCATGGTGAGTGTAGCGATTTACATTCCCACCTACAGTGCCCAAGGGTTTCTTCTCTCCACATTCTCACCAACACTTGTTATCTCTTACCTTTTTGATAATAGGCATTCAACAAATAGCTGATTGTGGCTTTGATTTGTATTTCTGTGGTGATTAATGATGCTGAGCACCTTTTCACAATTGTTGTTTGGACCTTTTTAAAATCTGATTGTTTTCTTATAGTTAGATTTTAAGAGTTCTTTGTATATTTTGGATAATACTCCTTTATTAGATGAGTCTTTTGGAAATATTCTTCC